AAAGAGCAGTCAGACAGATAGGAGAGAAAAATGTCACAAAACCCAAAGGCGTGGAGTAGCCAGAAGGAGTGGTGCTCCAAAAGCTGCTGCAGAGATGTCAAGCAAGGAAGAGGAATGAGAAAAGGCCATTGGACTTAGCAGTGAAAAGATTGCTGGCTCCAGAGAAGAGGTGAGGAAAGGGACTTCCAGCTTTTCTTTGCAGAGGTGACCAGAGGCTGGGGGCGGGGGGGGGGGCCGGAAGTTGAGGAAATGTGGCTGTGCTACATTGCATATCCCATCAGACTCATTCGATGTCTTGGTTAGTATTGCTAAACTGCTTTTTATGCCTTCTTTCTTATTTATTGTTACAAAAGATTACTCAATGGATAGGGGAGAGAAGGGGGATGTAGTCAGATAGGAAAGTGACATAAAAACAAAAGACATAAATAAAAATGTTTGAGAGATCATTGGTAAACATGGAGAGCATGGGATGTAGTCAGATAGGAAAGTGACATAAAAACAAAAGACATAAATAAAAATGTTTGAGAGATCATTGGTAAACATGGAGAGCATATTTTCAGTCAAGTGGTAAGGACGGAAACCAGATTGCAAGGAATTGAGAAATGGGGTTGTTATTGTCAGGAAGTGTAGAAATAGAAGGGGTATAGAGAACCCTTTCTAGGAGTCTGGATTTGAAAGAAGAAGAGGAAAGGAAATAGAATCAGGTGATGGTTTGATAAGGATGGTAGCCATTGGGTTTGTATATAGGCATCCTTTCCTGGTGCCATTGTGGGCAAACTTCCTGGAGGGATGAACGTTCAGACTTGTGATGCCCTGCCCCTCAGTTAGCAGCTGGACTCATAATGGGTCATGATAAGTATTCTCATCCACGTCTACTGTCACCTCTCTGTAGATGAAGGCCCAACCTCTTCCAAGCTTCAGTCCCTCATTTTCAACTGCTTCCTGGCATTTCCTCATCTATAGAGTAGGAACAGTAATTCTTATTCCAGTGACCTCATGGAACACTTATGAAGACGGCGCTCTGTAAGTTACAAGGCACAATATAAATATAAAATGCTGAAATGTTTGTTATTTTTGCTTCCTTTGTTGCAGCTGCTGTTCAGTTGTTGTCAGCTGTGTCAGATTCTTCATGACCCCATTTGGGGTTTTCTTGACAGAGATCTTGGAGTAGTTTGCCATTTCCTTCTTCAGTTCATTTTACTGATGAAGAAACTGAGGCAAACAGGGTTAAATGACTTGCCCAGGATCACATAGCTAGTAAGTGTCTGAGGCCACATTTAAACTCAGGATAAGGAGTCTTCCTGACTTCAGGCCCAGCATTCTATCCACTGCATCACCTAACTGCCCTATTTATTTTCTGTCCATACTCAAATCCATTCTGCATACTATTGTCAGATCAGTAATCTTAAGGAAGGGATTCTTAACTTGGGGTCCATGAACTTGGTTTTGAAATATTATAACTAAATTTCAATATAATTATGTTTTCATTTGGAACCTTAGGTATTTTATGCTTTTAATAATATTCTTCTGAAAATGGCTCAAAGCAGGAATAACATATATACTCAATTGAGTATAGAAATCTATTTTACCCTACAGGAAAGTAGGAGAGGAAGGGAATAAGAGAATGGGGAGGGGCAGTGTGATAGGGAGGACAGATTGGGGAAGGGGTAGTCAGAAGCAAAACACTTTTGAGGAGGGACAGGGTGAAAAGAGAAAGAGAATAAAATATACGGGGAAAGGGAGAATAGGAGCAATAGTAACTGTGAAAAAAATTTGGAAGTAGGTTTCTCTGATAAAGGGCTCATTTCTCAAACATAGAGAGAACTGAGTCAAATCTATAAAAATAAGAGCCATTCCCCAATTGATAAATCATCAAAAGATATGATCAGTTTTCAGGTGAAATCTCTATGGCCATATGAAAAAATACTCAACTCACTATTGACTGGAGAAGTGCAAATTAAAACAATTTTGAGGTACTATCTCATACCTATTAGATTGGCTAATAGGACAGAAAAGGTAAATGACAAATGTTGGAGGGGATGTGGGAAAAAATGAGACATTAATACCTTGGTGGTGGAGTTGTGAACTGATTCAACCATTCTGTAGAGCAATTTGGAAGTATGCCCAAAGGGCTATAAAACCATGCATATCCTTTGATTCAGCAATACCACTACTAGGTTTGTATCCCAAAAGAGATTTTTAAAAAAGGAAAAAAACCTTTATGTACAAAAATATTTATAGCAGCTCATTTCTGGGGGCAAAGAATTACAAACTGAGTAGATGCCCATTAAGTGGGGAATGGCTGAACAAGTTGCGGTATGTGATTATGATGGAACACTATTATACTATACGAAATGACAAGCAGGATGTTCTCAGAAAAACCTGGAAAGACTGGGCTGATGCAAAGTGAAATGTACTGTGAACAAAGCAAGGGCAATATTGTAAGATGATCCACTATGAATGATTTAGCTATTCTCAGCAAAACAATGATCCAAGCAACTCTGAAGGACTTATAATGAAAAATGCTATCCATCCCCAGAGAAAGAACTGATGATGTGTGAATACAGATCGAAGCATGCTTTTTTTTTAAACTTTTTTTTTCTTGAGTGTTTTTTGTCTATGTTCTCTTTCACAGCATGACAATTATGGATATGTTTTACATGACCACACATGTATAATCTATACCGAACTACTTGCCTTCTCAATAGGACAGGAAAAAGGGGGAGGGAGCAAGGGAGAGAATTTGAAACTCAAAGTTTTATAAACGAATGTTAAAAATTATTCTTACATGTAACTGGGGAAAAATAAATTAATTTTTTAAAAATATTATTCTTCTGAGAAGGGATCCATAGGCTTTACCAGGCTGCCAAAAGGATCCATGGGGGCAGCTAGGTGGCACAATGGATAGAGCACCAGCCCTGGAGTCAGGAGGAACTGAGTTCAAATCTGGATTTAGACATATAACACTCACTAGCTGTGTGACCCTGGGCAAGTCACTTAACCCCATTGCCTAGCCAAAACTAAACAAACAAAAAGATCCACAACACAAAGAAGGTTAAGAACTTTTGGTCCTAAAGCATTCCTCCATTGTCTGTGTCCTGCTCAAAAGGTTTCCATAGCATCCTTATTTTATACAAGCCAGATTAAGTACAAACTCTTTAAGACTGACAATCAAGGATTCCTACCACCCTACATGTTCTCCTTCCCCACCCTCAACATGTGTCATTACCAGACATTCACCACATTCCAGACAAACTGGACTACTGGCCATTCCCCAGGTCTGTCTTCTTCCCCACCTATGGACATTGTTTTCTATTCTTCCTTCCTCACCCTACAATCCCCACTTATCAAAATCCTACCCATCCTTCCAGATTCAGCACAGGACATCCCTTCCACAAGGCTTTCCCTGATCACATCTGACGGAAATATCTCCATTCTCTGAACTCCTTAGCCTGGCCTTGAAAGTGTCCTCTCTCATAGCATTTATAACAGGCATGGAACGAAATACACGAAATGTGTGGGGTGTTTTGAGCCCCTTCTGAAGAAATAAATTGGTGTTATTCTTGCTGAAGACTATCTCCATGGGAACGCCTTCCCTCTTGACCTAGAGTTTGGGAGTGGGCTGGTCTATCAAGTGAAATCATCAAAATGGCATCAGACCAATTTGTTCTGCTCCCCTGGGAATGCCAAGTGTCACTGATGGCTCTGAGGTGGGGATCAGAGATCTATTTACACCCACCTTTGGTCCAGGAGGGTTCCTTGAGGGTTAATGCTCCAATCACTTTGACAAATAGGTTCTGAAGGGGCCAGGTTACAGAGGAATACTGATGCCACCACAGGCTAGGATGGCCATGAGTGTCTCAGAAAATTACCCTGGCCGGAACAAGAATACTTTGACCTTGTGATGTTCATCCCTCCAGACAGCACTGACTAGCAGCTCATCTTTTCAGAGAGCTCTCCAGCCTTCATCCCCTGGGGAAAAGCCTCCTCTAGACATCCTGGCAGGGCTGAGTAGATTAGTCTCCAGCTCAGAACTGCCGTCTGACCCTAAGTCAGGACGTTAAATCTTTTGAATTGTCTATATGTGTATGCACATCTTCCGTGTCCCCAGTTTGTGGATTATCTAATGATTCTCCTCATTTTCCTTTCTGCTAACTTTCTTATGTGTAGGCATTTTCCTTTCCTCAGAAAGTGGGCAGGGCCTGGAAGAGAAGCTGAACCTCAAATGTATCCGCCTTTATTTTTGTCAGTAACTTGGTATTTACTTTAGCAAGGTAGGCAGCACTATTGGCTAAAATGGAAGTTGTGGGATGATCTGGTGATTTCTGGCTTTCCTGCTGTTCTCAGACATAATCACATGTCCTTATCCTGCCCTACCTCAACACTTCAATCTCTCAGAATCCCTATTTTCCTTCCAGGTCCAATGCAAATGCCACCTCCTGTGTGATTTATTATTTCTCTACAGCTAATGCCTCCCCCCACTAATCAGCTTTTAGCTAATAATAGCATTTAGGTGCTATATGAGCAGCTAAATGGCCCAGTGGATAGAGTCCTGGGCCTGGAGTCAGGAAGACCAGAGTTCAAATGTGGCCACAGACACTTACTGATAGTGTGACTCTGGGCAAGTCACTTAACCTCTGTTTACCTTAATCTACTGGAGAAGGAAAAGGCAAATCACTCCAGTACCTTTGCCCAGAAAAGGGCCTGGTGTGCCACGGTCCACGGGTGCACAAAGAGCTGGATCCAACTGAACAACAACAAAAATATAATAATAATAATAATTGTGTATCTATGTCATGTAAGATATGCCCTAAGTTACAGGATAGTAAATCCATGTTCACCTGTGAGTTTGTGGGGGTGGAAACAGATGCTCAGTGTCGCCAAGGGTCTTCATGGAGGTGTATGGTGCACGCATGGAGCCGATGGACCTGTTCCTCTTTCTTCTTGATATTTCTTTTAATTTTCATCTACTCATGGGTAACAAGAGTGGCATCACTCACCTTGTATCTCTCAATGAGCTTGAATCCAATGAAATACTGCAGCTTCCGAAGGCAGATCGGGCAAAGCTCCAGGGGCCGGAGGAGGGCCTCATCCAAACTCAGGGCTCCCTGCATGATGCAGCTCAGCCAGCGGCAATTTCCCAAGCCAATCAGGTGGCAGATCTCATGACATGTGACCTATTAGGAAAGAAAAATTGTCCTTTGCCAAGTTTGGGAGGAAATACTCATCTATAATCATCCATGTTCATATATTTCCTACTTTCTCTCCACCCTAATCATTTAGCTTGGGATTCCTCCACTCCAGAAGGGAAGCAATCCATCTCTCTTGAGGGGAGAGGCCCAGCTATTCTGTCTTTCTTTCCACTAAAATAAACATTATTTGAGAACTTTCCTTCGCTGATATGACTGTCAGTATTTCATGTGGATTAGAAGCATTGGTGTGCTGGTAAATGTTTAGTAACCAGCTTTCTGAAAACACAGGTCACACTTTTAAGTTTAATCTACAATATTAGCATTTTATTCATAACTTTCTTAATTCTAGTTAGTCAACCAAACAATAAATGAAGCTCTGATTTATAGTGTTTGCCAGTTTCTGAAATGTAAATATTCCCGCTGAAAATTTAACAATCAGCCCTTGGTTTGAGCTGGCTCCAGCACACCCCTGATTAGAGGAATGTCAAAATATATAGAGTATGCCAGGTGACACTAACAATCTCTCATTCGCTGCAGCATCTGAAGTTAGTTCCTGCAGCAGACAATGAGCCTCATTCATCCATCAGTTTCATTCAGCAAAAATGTATTAAGTTCTGCTACATACAATGCTCAGTTATCAAAATCCGTGCCTGTGGGCCAAAATGCCCTGCACCAGCCCTTAGAGGTGTCCCCAAGTCTGGACTGGCTGCTGGATGAAGTCCAAGAGAAATCCCTGAATAGACTCCAAGGAGAGAAGGAATTCTTTGGAGACTTCCAGTTGTGTCTTGTTTTGTTTGATTTGGGCTGGTTTGGGGCTTTTTTGGGTGAGGGGGGTGGGGAGGGGGTAGGGAGAGATTCCAGTTTGATTGACTCAGAGTTAAGGAAGCTATCCAGTCCCATATGGTTGAAGACTATCCCCAGCCAGTTGGAATCCTCCAGCACTCTCCCAGTCTCATTTATACTCTATGTATAGACTATATCCTCCCCAAAATGGCTCCTCAAACCTCTATAATCACAGTTTAAAATTCATCCACATCCTATTACGTATGTGAGATGTCCCTTTAGCCACTACTGATGAGAAAGCTATTTTCTTTTTTTTTGCTCTTTATTTTGGAAGAGACTTGACCTGTGATTTCATCAGTGTAAGGAACTCCCAGGTGATGAGCTTCCTCTGCCCATTCAAATTGTCACCTTCTCTGCCAGTATGGGTCAGAGGTAGGCCTTGAACACAGGCCTTCCATCCTCCAAGGCCACCTTTCTATTTATCATGGCACACTGCCTCTCAGGACCCATTTCTCAGGAACATATATGAAATCAGACACCTGAAATAGCTTTGAAGCTTCACTTTGGCCCCAAGTGACAGAAGTCATAAAAACAACAAAGTCTGGTATCTAAGACTGGGAAACACCCCTCCTGGTATACATACCTTGCAGCACTGGAGCATCTCCAGAATGCTGAAGAATAATGTCCGATTTCTGTCCCTCAAGGTTATCTCAGGTACCTTCAGGGTGATGTCTGGCATCTCCTCAGCCCCTGGAGCCTGGCAGAAATCAGCTGAAAACCTGGCAAAGCTGCACACTCCTACTTCTGAGTAAAGGAGAGAAGACCATAGAGTGAACGTTCTGCTTTACGGATTAAGACTGGGACTGGGGAAGTCAAAAGAGCCTAGGGAATCAGGAGTCATCTTACCCCTCTACAGCCGAAAGGGCCGTCTCAGCTCTTCCTGAAAGTGGTAAAGGTGTTCTCAGAAATCCCTCATCAAGAAAAACCCACATTCTGTCCACTTTATCAGTGTTCGCTGGGCAGAGTCAGAATCCCTCACCTTGTGACCTTCTCCCCCAGCCATTTAATGTAGCCTTGAAAAGAGTTCTTCCCCGAGAAAGTGACTTTTCCCAGAATTTTGAGTTGCCAGTAACAGAAACTGTTTTTCATTCATTTCATTGCCTATATAATTTCATAAGGAAATCCAAGCAATTGGTTTTTTTTTAATGGAAAAAGGTTTATAGGATCACACATTTAGAGCTAGGCCATCAAACACAACCCCTGCATTTTACAAATGAGGAAACTGAGGTTAACCAAGGTTCAGTGATTTGCCCAGGATCACACAGCTAGGGAATGTCTGAGGCAGATTTGAACTCACATCTTCTTGACCTTAAGTCCAGCACTCTAAGACCTCCTTTTCCTCATTTCGGCTATGGTAAGGGAGGGGAAGGGAGGGGAGGGGAAGAGGAGCTGAGTTGCCCAACTGGAAGTGGCCAGCTGGGTCCCCACTCAGGCAGCTTGTGGTTTGTTCTTTGTTCTCAAAGAGGACCATGCCATTAGGGAGGTGGTGACATGACTTGCAGTTGACTTTGATTTGAGTGAGGGTGGACTATGCAAAGTCATGAGTCTCACTTCCTCCTCCACAGCAATCTTGGTCCAGTGGCCAGATAGCCAACAGAATGATAAATGGCCTAGTTAACTTGGGGTTTACTGGCTAGATTTCTTTCTCAAAAACCAAGCCTTAAACCGAGTTTGCTCTGAGGATCTCATGAAATGGACCACAATAGGTGCCTGCCCAACCACCACTTAATGGTTATTTTTTGGGCCCTCCTGGCTCAGAGTGAATGTAAATAGTAACTGTTTCTCTTTTGGCCAGCAACCCTGAGGGTCTTCCCCTCCCAGTTTGGTTTTTTTTTTAATTTTTTATTAAAGGGGCCATCCCTAGATTCACTTCTTAAAGAGGCCTATTCACTGAATGGGCGTTGCCTCACTCAAACTAAGAACTTGAAAAGACCTTAGCTTAAAAGGGCCAAGGTCTCCCACTGCATCCTGGGCCATCCCCTCATCCTAATCCACATCTGGCCTCTGGAATCAGGTGGCTCTAGAGAAGAAAGGATGCTGGTGACTTTGCACAGCCCTTCCTCATTCAAATCAAAGTCAATTGCAAGTCATGTCATCATCTCCCTGGTGGCATGGTCCTCTTCAAGAACGAAGGACAAACCACACAACCACACACAACCTTTTCCTCCATTCTCCCTAACCATGATTAATTAACTGAAAGTGTTTTTTTTCTTATATTCTTCCCACTTCTACCCTTATTAAAAAAAAAAAGCTATCAGATCTGAACTCTTGTAACACCAAAGATGTCTCCTATTTCATGTTCTCTCGGATACATGCTCACCTTGAAGAGCACAAGAAGACTTTCCTCACTAACACCCAGGAAATGTCTTTCCCTACATTGGTCTTCCAATGGAAAGGCTCCACCCAAATTTCCCTCCTGGATAGAAGGCATTAGGAGCCAGATCTCACCTTGTCCTGGAAGGGATTTGCCAAAAGTGAAGCTCCAGTTTTCACAGGGATACAGGTCCTTGAGTGTGAGACCCAGCACACACAGGGCATCCATAGGTTTATTGTTTTTCAGGAAGGTCAAAATGCTATCTGGTGATGGAATGCAAAAGGCAATGGGTTCTTACAGTGGAAACCAGACAGGATATTAGTAGGTATACCTAAATGTTGTACCATGGTATAATCTTAGATTAAGTCACTTAACTCTTCTAGGTTTCCCTGGGCACCAACAATAATGTTTGGGCTGCCATTCTTTCAGTCCCTGGTCTCTGCATCTCTTCCCTTCACAACTTAGACAACTTCTCCTACTCTAGGTAAGGCAGATTGCTGCCCCTACAATCCCTGGCCAGACCTAAATTGAGCCTTTTCTTTCATCACATGCAAGAGGTTGGGATGTTTTAAAGAATTTGCAATCAGCATTTGAGTACAAACAGAAAACAACAAAATAAAAAGGAAAAGTTTCTGAACTCATATGTTCTGAATCATCTGGGTTCTAATCCACATTAATCTGAAATGTAGCCAAACAGGCACAGCTTCTGTGTTTGAGTGAATTATCCAGCCTTCATGATGGATTCAGAGATGTATGTCCATGAAGTCATGCAGATTGAAATGAGTTGAACCAGGAGAACGATCTCTGTGATGCCCATAATGCAAGAGGAAAGAACTCTGAAATACCTCAGAACTACTTTCACCAAAGCAGAGACCAACTGTAATTTAAAAGACTGATAATAAAACATGCCTGCCACTCTTGGCAAAAAGGTGATAAACTAAAAGTGAAGAATGAGATATTCATTTGATCTGTTCTGCTTGACTATGCTTATTTGTTATAAGGGAGGACATCTACTTGAGAAAGAGGGAGCAGTGAATTAGGGGTTAGTCACAGATATGAAGACAGGAGCATAAATCAAGCTATCCAGTGAGAAGTTACTGTGAGTGAGTCCTACCCCAAAACTGCCCAAAATGTCACCCATAGCCCCCAGGCAGTAGGAGAGGGGAGCATCTTCAGTGAACCAAAATCTAGCGCAAGAACTCAGGTGAGCTAGGGCGAGACCAAAGAAGGCCGACCACCCCACCCAAAAGCTCAGCAGGGCCTGGCTGATCCCTAACTGCAGCACAAATGCCAGTTCAAGAACTAAGGCTAGGGGCGGCTAGGTGGAGCAGTGGATAGAGCACTGGCCCTGGATTCAGGAGGACCTGAGTTCAAATCTGGCCTCAGACACATAACACTTTACTAGCTGTGTGACCCTGGAAAAGTCATTTAAGCCCAATTGCCTCACAAAAAAAAAAAAACAAATAAAAAAAAAAACTAAGGCTAGAGAGATGAGTAAATCAAAGAAAATACTGACAAGTATCAAAAAAATTGTTGTGAATATAAAAGTCCCCCAAAAGAAGGAAAGAGTAATTGTAACAACTTCAAACAAAGGCTCAAAGAAGAAGAAAAAAAAAAGAATTGTCCACAAGAACCACATGACTATCTTGAGGAAATCAAGTAAGAAATTTTTTTTAAATGAAATAAAGCTTTGGAGGAAAGAATTAAAAGGAAATAGAGCAGTTAGGTGGTACAGTGGATAAAGTACCAGGCCTGGAGTCAGGAAGACCTGAATTCAAATATAACCTCAGACACGTACTAGCTGTGTGATCCTGGACAAGTCTCTTAACTTCTGTTTGTCTCAGTTTCCTTGTTTATAACATGGAGATAATAATAGCATTTACCTCCCAGGGAGGCCGTGAGGATCAAATGAGATACTATTTGTAAAGCACTTGGTGCAATACCTGGCACACAGTAAGTGCTATATAAATACTAGCTATTATTGAATAGCTTGGAGGAGAAAGTGGTAAATCTTGCCCTCAAATTAGAATCCCTGAAAACCAAAATAGGTGAAACGAAAATCACCGACTCTGCGAGACAATGAGAAATATTAGAACAACTCAAAAGACCGAAAACTAGAAGAAAATGTAAGCTGACATAAAAACAACTGGCTTGGAAAACAGGTCAAGGAGGCATAATTTAAGAATCACTGGACTCCCAGAAAACCAGGATTTTAAAAAAAAAAGCCTGAATACTAAATTTCAAAAAATCATAAATGTAAGCTGCCTATTAGAGCTCTATTAGAGCCACAGGGCAAAGTAAAGACAGAAAGAATTCGCTAATCACCTTCTGAAAGAAAAGACAAAAAGAAAAGTTGCAAGAATGTCATAGCCAAGATTCAGAGCCTTCATGTCAAAGAAAAACTACTGCAAGAATCCAGGACAAAACAGTGCAATTACCAAGAATCTACAGTCACAATCACACAAGACTTGGAAACTTCTACTATGAACAAGAAGAGATCTTAGAATATGACATTCCAAAAGTCAAAAGAGAAAAGTGTACAACTAAGAAAAACTTACCCTCCATAGATAAGTATAATCCTATAGGGGGAAAATGGGTTTTTCATTCAAGAGAACTTTCAAACATTTTTAATGAAAAGACTAAAGCTGAATAGGAAATCTAAAATACAAACACAAGAGACCATAGCAATTTAGAAAGGTAAAAGTTTGACTGAACAGTTGGGAGATGCCATATGATGATACAGTGCTAACATTCTAATAGAGGAAGAAAAAACAAGTGTTACTTCAGAACCTCAATATCTTCAAAGGATGTTAAGGACGTTAAATAAGAAAAACATGTTCTGGGGGGAGAATGGTTCTATTCTGAGTGCTTTAAGAGGGGAAAGAGAAATGAGGGTAAAAAAGGAATATACTAGTATAGAAAGGAAGAAGGGGGAGAATTCATAATTAAGATATGTGAGGAGAAGAGGAAACAAACATGGAGGAAGGGTTGGGAGGAGTTAGCATCAGATGAACCTCACTTATCTGAAACAAAAAAAAAGAGTTGAACACACAGTTCGGTATAGAAATCCATCAAATTCAATAGGAAAACAAGCAGCGAAGGGGTGGGGAGAAGCAGGGTTAAGAAGAAGGAAATACCATAATACCAAGGAGGGAATAATCACATGCAAAACAAACTTGCTAGCTAATTGGGGAATTTGTTTTTCTTAATTATACATGTCTATAACAGAGGTTTTGTTTTTCTTGCTTTTTCTCAAGGGGTAGGGGGAATGCACATGTGAAAATAAAATGTAATTAAAAGAAGAATGTACTGATCCTGATGGAGGGATCAAAAGAGGGGGAAAAAGAAAAGAAGTAGAATCTAAGGGGGATACCCATCAATTGAGTAATGATTGGACAAACTGGGGTAGATGATCGCAATGTAATATTATCATACCATAAGAAATGATGCAAGAGATGACCACAGAGAATCCTGAGCAGTAGGAAGTGACACACAGTGAAGTGAAACCAGAGTGAACCAGGAAAAAGAATCTGTACAAGCATAACAATATTGTAAAAAAAAATCTTTGAAAGACTTAAGAACTCTGATCAATGAAATAACCACGCATTTCTCCATAAGACATATGATGTCTCTCCTGACAGAGAGGTGATAGTCTCAAAGTACAAAAAGAGACATACATTTTTGGACATGACTGTCCTGTGGGTTTCTTTTGTTATAAGTGTGTTTTTCTTTTCTGCTTTTTATTGTTGTTGTTGTTAGAGGAGGGGGACAACAAGACAGGGAAATGAAGATGTGAGTCTTAATGCAAAAAAGAAAAACCATTGAAACATTTTTTAAATGAACAGAACAGAAGCAAATTCAGAAGAAAGCACAAACCAAAAGAACAGTTTAGAAAGTAATGGATGAAATTTATTATACACATTAAAAAAACAAGCTATATGAAATGAAGATTCACAGTTACATTTACAATCCTCTTTTTCTGTTCTGCTGTGTATGTGGAAGCGCTCTTTTTGTTGTTTAAGAATAAAAAATCATTTTTATTAGGAATATCAATAAATCATTTTAAAATGGACAAGAAAATAAGAAGTACAAAACAAAGCAATTTTGTTACTACCTTGTGTGTATGTGTGTGTAATATACATATTCTATATACATATACAAATATATGTATATATAGTTTCTTTTTCTAAAAATCTATAAAGCATTTTCAATGTCCTATACAATTCTCTTCTTTGAATATTGAAATGTTTGTTGAGGATTATGAAGTTCACATTAAAAAAGGGGGAGGAATAAAAAATTTTTTAATCCCATTCCTTTCCAAATATCAGACAGATTTGAGTGTCTCAAGTTTTTTTTTTAATCTCCAACTCCTCCTCCTTAAGCAAGAGAGGTTGGCAGGAGCTCTCATGAGGAAACAATTTCTCTTCCCTGTTATTGGTGAAAAGAAATCCTTGAACTTGGGCAGTAGTATATTAGCATCTCAGTGATTATTGGAAGATAGTAACACATCTTCTCACTAGCCTCCCAGTTCAGGAAAGAGGAGTCATTTCTCCACAGGACCCCATTTTCCTCATCGATGAAAACCCCTTCCTCCCCTATCATCCTATACAAGGAGGATGATGGTAATAACTAGGTGATGATGATGATGATGTGATGATGATGATGATGATAACTGTCCTCCAGATAGCCCTGTAAGGTTTGCAAAGTGCTTTGGCTACATTAACTCATTTAAACCGCACAGCACCACTGTGGGCAAAGTCCTGCAGATACATTATCTCCATTGTACAGATGAGGTAACAGGTTTAGAGAAAAGAAGGCACTTGCTCATGTCTGGTAAGTGTCTAAGACAGGACTCCAAGTCAGATCTTCCTCAAATTCCAAATCTAATGCTCACTCCTGTGAGTAGTGAGAATAAAATGAAGTAACTAATATGAAAGCTCATTGAAGGGTACAAAAACATAAGCAGATTATGAAAGGTAGGAAGATTCCCTCCTCTCCTCCCCCTGGACTCTCAGAATAAGAGGAAGGCTCTGCACTCTGGGAATGGGAGGAAGCCCTCATCTTGCTCTCAGGCTAATCAACATGGACTGAACTTTCAAAGGAAGGCAGCCTTCCTTCTGATTCTTTATGATCTGCTTTTGTTCCTGTCTAACCAGGTAGCCTGACCCCTGAGTCCACTGTCAATACTTTAGTACAGAGAGGAAGGCAACTTTCAATGCACCGTATTACAGTAAGCAGGGCCAAATCCTGCCTCACACATTTAACAGCTGTGTGACCCTGGGCAAGTCACTTCTCTCTCTTTCAGTTTCCTCATCTGTAAACTGAGGAGGCTGACTTGATGGTCTCCCAAGTTCCTTCCAGCTCTAAATCTCCGGACCTATGATCTTAGGGCTGGCCCAATCAGATGACTGTTAAGAGAGAAAGAAGTAAAATCATCTATGCAGAATCATGCCACGTGGCAGAACACTCTCACTGAAGACAACAACTAAGACAGGGCACATACTTCTCTTCAGGACTTTTCCCAGGCCTCACTGGAGTCAGAGGACCTGGGTTCAAATCCCATCTCCAAGGCTTCCTACTGGAGAGGTGGCGGGGGGGAGGGGGTCCTCCAGACTTCAGTTTAAGCATCTGATATCACTCATACAGTGGAAAGAATGTTAGCATTGGAGTCGGAGGACCTAAGTTCAAATTCTGCTTCTGCCTCTACCTACGTGTGACCTTGGACAAGGTCATTTGGAAAACAAAAAGTTTGGACTAAGAGGCCTTGTAGTTTTACAGCTATGACCATATACAACTGAATGAATCATCCTAGTGAACCAATTCCAACCTGTCCCACCCTGCCTTCTGATCTCTTCTCCATCTATAAAGTACCTTTCCTGTCTATTCAATTAGACATGTTTAACAAGTCCCTTGGAGACCAAAGTGCTATAGAGATAATCAATCACCAGCCATTCTAAGGGGACACTTTCCCTCATCTCCACTCCATTCCTTGGGATATCTTATCATAAATAAGGCTTCTTTTTTTAAGCAATATCCTATGGGAGGGGGAATGGGCACTAACAATCTAGTTGTGGAAATTTCCTTTTCCTGTGTGCTTAATTTCCCCCCCCCTCCACAAAAACAGGATTTCATCCTCCCCACCTCCCTACAGGTCAAGAATGGCATTTTCCCTAATTGTGTGATAATGCCACTCGCTATCTTTACTCTCAGTCCAAACTGACCCGCATGGAGCTGGATCCTGTCAGAGTCCCGATTATGACGGAAGCAGCAGTGGATGGAAGAGACTGGTACGGAGGGAAGGCACTTTACCCGAAGCCCCAAGAAGAAAGATTCCATGAATCCTCGGAGACAGTCCAGGAGGGAACTCCCCACAGGTCCTTCGCTTAGCTCTAGGAATAGAAGCAGCATGGTCAGTTTCTGCCTTGGACATTCCCTGCTTGCTTGCACAGTCCAAAGAGATCACCTGTACCCAGAAATGCAGAAGACACAGTCAACTGCACTCATTTCACAACCGTGGTCACCTCTGTAATGTGAGGGTTGAATTACTCATCCACAAGGGACAGGTATGATTCCAATGACTGGTTTTCAAGGAGCTGGCTCTTGGTGATACTGCCTCAGGAAGGAGTTCATTTCAGTCTAGAACTCTGGAGTTAGGGGCCTCTCCCCTCTGATCGTGGTATTGCAGCTGAATCCCCTGAGCACCTTTAGCTGTCTTCCTCCTTCCTCTCAGGGTATCCCCATTATTTCTGGGTGACCCTACATCCAATTTAATTCAGCAGCATACCTGAAGGACCAGTGTTCTCTTTCACATCTAGGATATTGCTAATGCTCAGTGGTTAGTACTTCTCTATGGGCTCAAGGAAAGTTCCATCATCCCTTGCTCTAGAGCTCAAGGAAGCAACAGTATTGGGAGTAGGATGGGAAAGGGTAGAAAGCCATCCCATTTCTTTTCAAAAGAACCTGAAACCATGCCATTTTTTTCTCTCTTCCTCTCAGCACTGGGATAAATAAGCCGTCCCACTCTCTCGTCTCTATTGTTGATTGTTGTTGCCAGTTGAAATTATTAGCCAGATCCTGCTATTTCCCCCAAACTATTTCTCTCTCTCTCTCTCTCTCTCTCTCTCTCTCTCTCTCTCTCTCTCTCTCTCTCTCTCTCTCTCTCTCTCTCATATACACACACTCCCTCTCCTTTCCTCCCTCCCTCTCACTCTCTCCTCCCTTTAAGTATTGCCTGAGGCAAAATATTATGTAATTTATTGAGACCTCAGAGTACTCTCGGTTATAATTCCTAAGAGTTATAAATTAGAGAAATCTTCCTGAATGGGGGCCAGAGAGGCTCTAATATAGACCTAGACCCTTTCTCCTCCTGGCTTCTGCATAGATTAGAGTGTGAAGCCTGGAGCCCAAAACCAAGTTGAGTGACACCCCTCTCCCTCTACCCCCAGCCCAAGGTACCTATTGGCTGTAAGTAAATATGCTTCCGACATGTGCTCTGTTTCCTCCTTACAAGAGAGTGGTAGAAAGTCTCAAAGTCCTCTGGGGCATCAGGGTGGCTTAGGAGCCAGTCAAAGGCGGTCCTGATGACCAATGTACAGAAGAGGGTCCTCTGTGGGTTGTATGCTTCAGAGAGGAAAAACCTCTCAGTGGTGGAAAAAGCCTTAGCATAGAGTTCCTGCAGGACAGGGTTGGTGGAGATGAGGGCATCCTTTAGGGCCCGGGGACCAAAACTGAACTCCTCAGCATGCTTGCACTGCAACATTGCTGCCAGGCAAACCCTCAAGCTAGGAGAGAGCCTTAGGAGGGGGAGGCTGATGATCTGGCATCAGCAGTCACCAGCCCTCAGGAACTCACTTCACCTGGTGTTTCTTCTGAGGAAAAGTCTGTGAGGACAGCAGGAGTCAGGAAGGAGGTACAGCCAGACTCCTGAGTCTCAAGGTTCACCAGAAGACCTTTTCCCTCTGTGAAGGCGATTGTGACCCAGAACTTCTTGAGCTGGTCTAAGTGGCTTTAGAGAATGCTAGCAGGTGGGGACACATTGCCCATTAAGAGATCCTGAAGGCCTCCTTCCAATGGTTGCCTAGGGTCCTGGTACTGGATCGGTTACGAGAGGCAACGACGGGGTGACAACAGTGCCTGCCAGCCCATAGGGTTATCCTGCAGCAGGAGAAGAAAAATATTACAGAAGTATTGTCATCATTATTCCTATGCAATTAAGAATCATAGAATTTTAAAATTGGAAAGTATCTCAATGATCATTTCCTCCAACCCATACCCTGAAAGTAATTCCCACCATAAGCACCTATCCAGCCTCTGCCTGAAGATCTTGGAGGAGGGGGAAGCCACTACCTCCCAATGTAGCCCATTCTACTTGTTTAAAAATGTATTTTATTTTTAATTTATGGAATAAATCAAGCATTTCCATAACATAGTGCAATAAAAAAGACCATTGCCCATTCCACTTTTTAGACAGCTCTAATTGTTAGGAAGTTTTTCCTGACACCAAGCCTACACTGTCAGTCAGTAAACATTTATTAAGCACCTACTATATGCCAGGCAGTGCTCTAAGTGCTGGGAATACAAACAAAGGTAAAAGACAACCCCTGGCTCAAGGAGCTCACAATCTTATGGGGGAGACATCATATAAATAATTATGTGCAAATAAACTATATCTAGCATGAACAGGAGATGGTCAGTAGAGGTAAGGCTGCTAGAATTAAGGGGAAACAATGAGAGTTTCCTGTAGAGAGTGAGATTCTAGCTGAGACTTGAAGGAAGCCAGGGAAGACAGGAGACAGAGAGAAGGAGGGAGAGATTGCAGGTAGCAGTCAGTGAAAATGTCGGCAGAGGGACGTCTTGGAGTTTTTTTGTTTGTTTTTGTTTTGTTTTGTTTATGCAGCCTCTCTTTAACTTCCATCCATTCATTCTTTCTGCCTATGCCTTCTGGAGCTTAACGGAATAAATCTAATCCCCTTCCAATGACAAGGCCTTCCTTCAGATACTTGAAGGTAGTGGTCACATCTGTCCCTCCTGAATCTTCTCTTCTCCAGGCTGAATGTCCCCAGCTCCTTAAACCGTCTCTTTTACAGCATTGATTGGAGGTCCTTCACCATCCTGGTTACTCTTCTCTGGACATTCTCAGAATTATCCATGGCCTTAAACTACGGTACCCAAAACTGACACACTACTCCAGACCAGGGTGAATTACAGAGACACTATATCTCTTTAGTCCTTTTTTTTTTAAATTAAATTTGGTATTCCTATATCACCCAGGCTAACAGTGCAGTGCCCCTTCATGGGCCTGATCCCAATAGAGTGACATAAAAGTTGTAATCAGATCCATTATTTTTCAACCTGGACCAGTTCTTCCTTCCTTCGCCTCATCCATTCCCTAGGGGTTGCCATTTTGGTGCAGGATTTGCTACATAGCCTCATTGAATCTCAAAACTGCTCAACTCAATCCTCCAGCCTCAGCTCCCCAGCAGTAGCGATTGCTGGCATCTACTGAGCCCAACTCATTTACTTATTCCTAGAAGTTTGTTGTCAGTCATGTCTGATTCTTCATGACCTCATTTGGGGTTTTCCTTTGGTTTTGCCATTTCCTTCTCCAGCTCATTTTACAGATGAGAAAACTGAGGCAAGCAGGGTCAAGTGACTTGCTCAGGGTCACACAGCTAATAAGTGTTTGAGACCATATTTGAACTCAGGTCTTCTTGACTCCAGGCCAGTGACCCCTCCACTGTGCCACCTAGCTGTCCTGTTAAAATAGTATGACGGCCAAAAAAGCTAATATTACATTAGGCTGAATTAAGAGAAGCACAGCATCTAAGTGGTGGAGTAGATAGAGCATTGGCCTGGAGTTGGGAAGACCTGAGTTCAAATCTGACCTCAGACACTAACTAGCTGTGTAACCCTGGGCAAGTCGCTTAACCTTGTTTGCCTCAGTTTCCTCATCTGTAAAATGAGCTGGAAAAGGAGATGACAAATTATTCTAGTACCTCTGCCAAGAAAACTCTAAATGGGGTCATGAATTACTCCTATTAAGCTTGCAGTTGATCCAGATCTTTTTTTCAGATTGTGAAATTAATTTTTTGAACACTAGTTCTTATTAAGCATAATTAGAGAACTAGATGAGATAAGAAAAACATGGCACATTCCCTTCTGAATTGGTTTCTCATAGAAAAACCTTCACTGAATGGGATTCTATGCCAGACATTATACAAAGGAAACTCTATAGTCCCCATCAGAGCACAATGACAGTTTTCCACAGGAGTTTTGGAGAACACACGATCCACCTTTAAGTGTGATCATTTCTATTTTTTTTAATTTCTCAGCCCTAATTCCTACCAGGCTAGTGTTGGATCTGTACAGTTTTTCACAATTAAGATGTAAATGTAGATGGTATTCCTGCCTTCTCTCCAACACTGCCCTTCTCCCTCCCCCCTCTCCCCCCCCCCCAGCAGCTTGGGTAGTTGCAGCAGGAAATGTGTTTCCATGGAGTCTTCTATGCCACGGGCTCTGCTGTAGCTGTAATCTACACAGAAAGGGTTTGTAGACCTGCACAAACCCTGAAACACAGTCTATCACCCTCTTCCTTTCTCCCCATAATGCATTCAACATTGATGAGCACCTTTACTGGCTTCTTTGTCTTTTTCTTTAACTACTACAGATCCAGTGGGGCCCCTTCACACGGGGAACATGACTTTCCAATCTAATTGGTAATTACTGAGTGCATCCTTTGTGATTCTCCTCATGTCCGTGACACCTTTTCACTATCTGAATTACAAGTTTTCCTGGCCAGAGTCCCACGTGTTTATGTGGAAGCTGGTGGAAGCAGCAATCACTGACTCAAAATGGCCTTGGATTTTGATTTGTGGCACCGACATGATGGAGATGATGGGTAGGCAATGGGAGGAAAAGAAGACAGGGAATGGATGAAGAAGAGAAATACATCCACCAAAGAAATGTACAGATTCCAAAGTTTCCTGAGGCATGCAAGAGAGGCCAGAGATATAAATTAAGTAGTCAGAGCCATGAATACATGCCAACAACTGTAAACTATAAATAGGGAGATCTGAGAAAGAAAACAGAGTTTTTTTAACTGCTGAAATATATTTAACTGGGAGAGGACTCTTAGGAAGGAATATAATGGGAGAAGTATGAGTGTTTCACTTTTGAATCTAGAGGGTGTGTGTGTGTGTGTTGTGTGTGTGTGTGTGTTTGAAAAAGAAACAATGCTTTCCTCTTCCACCTCCTCCTTCCCCCCACCCTACTGGCATTTTCTGACAACAGAACAAAGTACTTAGACAAATGAGGAAGACTAGTGAAAAAAGAAAGCTAAAAGGACGCCTGACTTTAGGGACCCATTCCAATTCTTTTCCCAACCCCTCACACCAAGGAGATCAATGACAAAAGGAAAGGCATCACTACCAAATATTCATATAAGCACTACTTTGCAATAGCAAAAATCTAAAGATAAATTATGTGCTGCCAAAATGGAGATGACTAAACAAATTGTGATATAAGGATGTAATGCATTTGTAACTGAATGATAATGAGTATTGACCATGGAGAATAAAAGAAATGCAGGAAGACTTGTATAAGCTAATAATACAGAGTAAAGAAAGCAGGTCTAAAGAACAATATACATAATGTCAATGAAAACATTAAAAGGCAAGAAAACTCAGGTCAAATACAATGGGCAATGTTGATTATAAATTATTAACAATAAACCACAAAATGAAAAGGGTTTTTTTTGTCTTTTAAAGAGACTGGGTCTCTCTGATAAAGGCCTCATTTCTAAAATATATAGAGAATTAAGACAAATTTATAAGAACACAAGCCATTCCCCAATTGATAAATGGTCAAAGGGTATGAACAGACAGTTCTCAGATGAAGAAATTAAAGCCAACTATAATCATATGCAAAAATGCTCTAAATTGTTATTGATTAGAGAAATGCAAATCAAAACAACTCTGAGGTACCACATCACACCTATCAGATTGGCCAACATGACAAAACAGGAAAATGATAAATGTTGGAGAAGATGTGGGAAAATTGGAACACTTAATACATTATTGGTGGAGTTGTGAAATGATCCAAACATTTTGGAGAACAATTTGGAACTATGCCCAAAAGGCTACAAAAATGTGCATACCCTTTGATCCAGCAATAGCACTTCTAGGGCTATATCCCAAAGAGATCAAACAAATGGGAAAAGGACCCACATGTACAAAAATATTCATAGCAGCTCTTTTTGTGGTGGCAAAGAATTGGAAATTGAGAGGATGCCCATCCATTGGGGAATGGCTGAGCAAGTTGTGGTATATGAATGTAATGGAATACTACTGTGCTATAAGAAAGGATGAACAGGCTGACTTCAGAAAAACCTGGAAAGACTTATATGGTCTGATCCTGAGTGAAGTAAGCAGAACCAAGAGGACTTTGTACACAACAACAGTCACGTTATGCAATGACTAAGATTGTTAAACTGAACCCTTCTCAGCATTACGAGGATCTAAGACATCTCCAGAGGCCTCGGGATGGAAAATGTTGTCCATATCCAAAGAAAGAACTATGGAAGTTGAATCGCTATCACTTATTTTTACCTTCTGTTGAGTTTTGTTTCATCTTTCTAATGGTTCCTCCTATTGGTTTTAATTTTTACTTACAACTTCACTAATGTGAAAATATGTTTAATGGGTATGTAAATGTAAAGCCTATGTCAGATTGTGGCCGTCTTGGAAGGGTGGGGAGGAAGGGGAGAAAAATTTTCAACTCAAAAGCATATGGAAGTGATTGTTGATAAATCAAAATAAATTAATAAAATTTTTAAAAAAGAAAAAAAAAGAAAAATTAAAAAATAAAATAAAGAGACTGGGGAGAGGTGCTCTAGGAGGACCCTGGATCAAGTTTGAGCTCATGGCCAATAGTCCCCCATTTTCTGGGTAGACCACAGAAAACCCAAGTTTTTAAAGGGTTGTGATTTTCCCATTCACCTTGGTCTGGCAGCTCGAAAGTCTGTCTAATCCTCAGGAATCAATTTTTGTCCATCAGGTGTGCAAAATCCTTGATACTTCTAGTTTGAGGAGGGATGAGGAAGGAGGGAGAAGTGAAGACAGGATAAATTTAAGACATTTTAAGAGAACCACTTTTGA